GTTGGCACAGCGGACATTTGCCACTGCCACAGACACAGGCACTTTGCCTAATGCAAATAAATCAGACTGTCACCAGGTCTATGGCCAGCTTAAGGGGGAACTACACCCCAATGTCCTATATAGCCAAGAAAGCTGCCATCTTAGCCTCCTAATAATCTGCAGCTGGTGCTGCACATGATTATTATTATTATACAGGATTTATATATTATACAGGATTTATATATTATATACAGGATTTATATATTACTATTATACATGATTTATATATTACTATTATACAGGATTTATATATTACTATTATACAGGATTTATATAGCGTCAACAGATTGCTCAGTGCTTTACAATATAACGGGAGACAATACAGCAACAATACAGTTCAATACAAGAGGGATAGGAGGACCCTGCTCCTTGGAGCTTACAATCTAGGAGATCATTTGAGAGCACAAGCAACCATGACAGTAAGGCTCCATGTACACTGCAGCTGATAAACTCGCGTTTAGGAGCTTTTCTGCATTTTTTTTTTCAGCAGCCCCTGAACTCCCCCTAATGTTTTCCTATGTGTCCATGTACACATCTTCGTTTACAGGCAGTTGAGTATACAGTCTTTTTTTGTGAACGCACCAAACTTGCGTTTGGTAGATTTTAGCAGCGGTTCAAAACGCCAAATGCTTGTAAACACAGCTAACCACGTTTATAAGCGTTTGAAATTTTTTTTTTTAACTCTTCCATTTCCAGATGCTGTCCAGAGCCTTTTTTCATCATGAAAAATGCATGCAAAGCATTTTCCCAGTACTCAAATAATCCTGGTACACCATACTTTGAGGTTTCACATGAAAGAAAATATGTTAGACACTGCTGCAATAATTTCTGCACAGAAATAAGCTGAAACACATCCAAACACCACAAAAAAAATCTAAAAAAAAAAAATCTAAAAAAAAAAAAAAAGACAGCTAATCTCAACAAATACTGCTCTCTCTGCTTCTACTCTCTCTATTTCTCTCAAAATGTACGAAATAGTTAATTTTCCTGAGGTTATCTTTAAAAAATGCTTCTAAATGCAAACGCTCAAACACGTTATGCAAACGCGGCTAAGCAGACTTTTTTTTTAACCTACGTTTTCCAGCAGTCAGTTTCCATTGTTCAGAAGCGTTTTCCAAACGCCCCCCGTACATGGAACCTTATTTACGGCATGTCTTGAATGACACTGCATTGAAAAACCGTTAAATAGATATGTTTAGTTAAGTCTTAAATAGTAAGCCTGTCACTACTGTAAGGTTCCTGGACACATGCAGACCAGAAGCAAAAAGCATTTGTTTTCAAAGTGCAACAGTAGAAATAGGGCCTAATAATTAACAGGGAGGATATGGAAGAGGAAGGGGTGGGAAGAAGCTCAACTTTTACAGGAAAAGATGAGAGATGCATACAGATGTAGCTGCCTTTAACTCTGGGCATAGTCCCTGCTGTGACATACAATTTTTACTAAATGCAAATGACCTCCTAGATTGTAAGCTCCCAGGATCAGGCCCTCCTATCCCTCTTGTATTGAACTGTATTGTCTCCCGTTATATTGTAAGTGCTGAGCAAACTGTTGGTGCTATATAAATCCTGTATAATAATAATGCTAATACACTCCTTAATATATCAAAGTCTGCAACGCATTTAAAAAACAAAAACAAAAAAAAAAAACAAAAAAAACAAACAAAAAGATGATAATAGCCAGGATCCTACAATGGAGTTATTTTAAACAAGGATAATAAAGACAGTTTAAAAGTAGACATATCCTTTTCAATTATACGAATATTTGTCTAGTAATATAAAGAACAGAAGGTGGATAGGTGCATGTTGGAAGTACGGGTTAATATTGGAATCACATCTGAATATCTGCCATAAACACTTCTGCTTTTCCATTTCTGAGGATTTGATTTGTAATTTGTAACATCAACCTGCAGCAATCAATGATGATTAATCTAGGGACTGGTGCAGATCACCGCTTTATCATCACAGGGTGCTATTAATTACATTTCACTGTAACAAACAAAAGAAGTGTTTGTGGAGCGAGCGGGACTGGATCTATAAAAAATGATAGCCGTGTCCCTCTGACCAGCACGCCATTGGGTGTGATTGAGGCCAGCCAATGACAGCTGTGCAATCTTGTGACTACATTAGAAAAACTCTGGTCTGACTCACATCCCATAGGGAGTCCCAAGCAATTTTACAGAAACAAAAGGGTGGAGAGGAATGTCAGTTTTTGGGATGAGCACAGTAATTAAGCTCACTACAACCAATTTGCTCCAACAGGGAAAACAATTCCTTCCTGATCCCCTATAGCAGGCACGTCAATCTCCGATAAAACATTGTGCCGAATGCAGAGGAACACATTTTCAGGGGGATTGTATTAGGTCTACCTATGGGCCACACCTACTTCCCCCCCACAAAAATATTACGGGGTAACTACGGGATTTAATATTGCAGGTTGCATTTTTTACTATAATGTTAACTTCCAGAGAAAGATTTCACAAAACATTGCCAGAAATGTTTAGATGTAAATTATAAATGATTTAGATTATAAAATGATGCAAGGAGTGGAACAGGAGATCATCTGGGAGCATCTTTCTGTAAACCTATTAAAACATGAAGTGTTCATACAATAAAAACATCTCAGATCATATAAGATCATAGAATCATAAAAAACTCAAAAAATCTGCACATAAATAGTGAATATAAAAAGTCAGTCAGCTTATTAGCAATATTAGTGATTATATATAGTCTGTGGCACTGAAAGTCACAGAAGTGCCAAGTGATACATGTGAGCTTATTAGCAATATTAGTGATTATATATACAGGTCACAGCAATGCCCGGGACTTCCACAGACTATATATAGTCACGAATATTGCTAATAAGCGGACATGTATCACTTGGCACTTCTGTGACTTTCAGTGCCACAGACTATATATAATCACTAATATTGCTAATAAGCTCACACATATCACTTGGCACTTCTGTGACCTGTAGTGCCACGGACTTTTTATATTCACTATGTTTATGATTCTATGATTTTATATGATCTGAGATGTTTTTATTGTATGAACACTTCTATTCACATAAGCACTCTACGATGAAATTTGTCACTTATGCTTTAGCGCACACTTCCATTTGAATGGATTCCTGTGGGTTTCCTACGTTGCCTTTTGTGCTAGCACAACTACCATAATATCTGCACTCACTTTATATCTTGTGTTATAGTAAAAACACGACATGCCACCCTACCTGCCCTGGGGCAACTGTATATCTTCTGGAGCAAGAATCCACTGTTTTATTACTTCTAAACAATCAGTTATTATTCGGAGCAATTTAGAATCATATCTAGTCTTTTCATGAATACAAACTTCATAATTGGCTTGAGCTATCCTACGTGGAAGGCTATTCACATCTTCATGGCTTTTACTGTAAAGAACCCTGTTTCCAGAGCATATCCCTCCAACTTCACACACGCAAAGAGTACCCCTTTGTAATTTGCAACAACCTTAAAGCAAACGATGTTTAAACCTGTTTAAAGCAACTCTACTTAGCCACACAATCTAATCCGTAAGTGGAGGAAGGCAGGTGTTATATCACCAAATACAGAAAACCTGCACTGAGAGAATATGGATTTTTTTTTTTTTTTTTTTTTAACTATAACTGGAGAGTGCAAAATCTGGTGCAGCTCTGTATAGAAACCAATCAGCTTCCAGGTTTTATTGTCAAATCTTAAATAACCACTTCCCAACCGTGCTATAGCCAAAAAAACTGCTACAGCGTGGTCTGCTAGTTCTGACATTCTATTTGTCTCAAAAAAAAAAGGATAAAAAAAAATGTAGTTTGGGTGCAGTGTTGCATGACTGCGCAATTGTCAAAAGTGCAACAGTGCTGAAAGCTGCCAATCCCTGGGCAGGAAGGGGGTAAATGTGCCCGATAGGCAAGTGGTTAAACAAGCCTAAGTTAGAAGCCGATTGGCTCCCATGCACAGCGGCACTAGATTCTCAGTACTCCAGTTTTAGTAAGTCTACCCCTATGGCTGTAGTTGCTGACTTCACCATCTGAAAATGTTCGATGCCTGGCTGTTGTGTTGATCCACCAGCTTTAAAGCAACATTAAACCCAAAACTAAAAATTTTATATATTGCAGCTTACCTGTCATTTGATGTGGTAGCTGCATTCGTTTTCTTTTTAGGCTTTTTCCCCTCTGGTGATCTAGCCAGTAAACACACCTCCTGTATTAGAGTGCCCCCACTCTGGATGAAGGCGCACAGGGGGTCATATTTGGACAGCAGCATTGTTAATATTGGGGGAGAGGAGTTTTATCTGTACTAGCAGATTTAGTTAAACTAACAAGATTGATGCCAAACTGCAGCTAATACTTTATAGGCAGTTACAGCAAAAAGTTTTTTCCTTTCGGGATAAAAGTTTTACATAAATAAATAAAAGCTGATCATTGTAAACACCACTGTCAGTGGTAAAGGGTTGCCGCGATCCTGCAACTGCTACATCTACAGGACAGCCTGCTCTGTTGGGAAAAAAAAAAAAAAAAAAAAAGGACTTTAGGGCTGATTGACACTACAAACGCAGTGCATTTGAGCTCACAACATTGGTACCACGTGATCCAGCTGCAGTGTGTTTCTAAAGTAGTGCATGCACTACTTTTAGTGCAGTGCGATTATAGCCCATTCAAAATGCACATAACTGCATGTGAACACAGCACGTTCCTGTGAGGGCATGGTGTCCTAAAAATAAAAGGAAAGAAAGCCCAAAACAAACAAAAATGTAGCCAACACATCTAAGAAAGTAAGCTTTTGGGTTTGATACTGCTTTAATATTATGAGCAGTAAGAGCAGCTACACGCTAAACGTATAACTAAACCCAGGACCCCGCATTCACTATATCCGTCTCCCCGGACCCTGCATTCACTATATCTGATCTCCCCGGACCCTGCATTCACTATATCCGATCTCCCCGGACCCTGCATTCACTATATCTGGTCTCCCCGGACCCTGCATTCACTATATCTGGTCTCCCCGGACCCTGCATTCACTATATCTGGTCTTCCAGGACCCTTCTTTCTCTATATGTGATCTTCCAGGACCCTGCATTCACTATATCCGGTCTCCCCCGGACCCTGCATTCACTATATCCGGTCTCCCGGGACCCTGCATTCACTATATCCGCTCTCCCTGGACCCTGCATTCACTATATCCGCTCTCCCTGGACCCTACAGTCACCATATCTGGTCTCCCGGACCCTGCATTCACTACATCTGGTCTCCTCGGACCCTGCATTCACTATATCTGGTCTCCCCGGGCCCTGCATTCACTATATCCGGTCTCCCCGACCCCGCATTCACTATATCTGGTCTCCCCGGACCCCGCATTCACTATATCTGGTCTCCCCCGGACCCCGCATTCACTATATCTGATCTCCCCGGACCCTGCATTCACTATATCCGGTCTCCCAGGACCCTGCATTCACTATATCTGGTCTCCCCGGACCCTGTATTCACTATATCTGGTCTCCCCGGACCCCGCATTCACTATATCTGATCTCCCCGGACCCTGCATTCACTATATCTGGTCTCCCACAGTACATACAACATGGAAATGCAATTATTTTAGTAAATATAAAAAACTGCTACCGTATTTGCCGGGGTATAAGACGACCCCCTACTTTTCCTGCTAAAATGTAGTGTTTGGGCTATACTCGCCGTATAAGACTACCCCTCTTCCAATTGCACACCAGTGGGAGGAATAGTGCCCCATCATCGGCGTCAGTGGGAGGAATAGTGCCCCATCATTGGTGTCATGGGGTGGGGGGGGGGAATAGTGCCCCATCATTGGTGTCAGTGGGGGGAATAGTGCCCCATCATTAGTATCAGTGGGGGGAATAGGTGACCCATCATTGGTGTCAGTGGCAGGAATAGTGTCCCATCATCGGTATCAGTGGCAGGAATAGTGCCCCATCATCGGTGTCAGTGGGGGGGGGGGGGGGGAATAGTGCCCCATCGTCGGTTGTCAGTGGGGGGGGGGGGGGGGAATAGTGCCCCATCGTTGGTGTCAGTGGGGGGGGGGGGGAATAGTGCCCCATCGTTGGTGTCAGTGGGGGGGGGGGGGAATAGTGCCCCATCGTTGGTGTCAGTGGGGGGGGGGGGGGGGAATAGTGCCCCATCGTTGGTGTCAGTGGGGGGGGGGGGGGAATAGTGCCCCATCGTTGGTGTCAGTGGGGGGGGGGGGGGGGAATAGTGCCCCATCGTTGGTGTCAGTGGGGGGGGGGGGGGGGGATAGTGCCCCATCGTTGGTGTCAGTGGGGGGGGGGGGGGGGGGGAATAGTGCCCCATCGTTGGTGTCAGTGGGGGGGGGGGGGGGAATAGTGCCCCATCGTTGGTGTCAGTGGGGTGGGGGGGGGGGAATAGTGCCCCATCGTTGGTGTCAGTGGGGGGGGGGGGGGGAATAGTGCCCCATCGTTGGTGTCAGTGGGGGGGGGGGGGGAATAGTGCCCCATCGTTGGTGTCAGTGGGGGGGGGGGGGGGGGGGGGGGAATAGTGCCCCATCGTTGGTGTCAGTGGGGGGGGGGGGGGAATAGTGCCCCATCGTTGGTGTCAGTGGGGGGGGGGGGGGGAATAGTGCCCCATCGTTGGTGTCAGTGGGGGGGGGGGGGGGGGAATAGTGCCCCATCGTTGGTGTCAGTGGGGGGGGGGGGGGGGGGGAATAGTGCCCCATCGTTGGTGTCAGTGGGGGGGGGGGGGGGGGGAATAGTGCCCCATCGTTGGTGTCAGTGGGGGGGGGGGGGGGGAATAGTGCCCCATCGTTGGTGTCAGTGGGGGGGGGGGGGGGGGAATAGTGCCCCATCGTTGGTGTCAGTGGGGGGGGGGGGGGGGAATAGTGCCCCATCGTTGGTGTCAGTGGGGGGGGGGGGGGGGGGTATAGTGCCCCATCGTTGGTGTCAGTGGGGGGGGGGGGGGGGAATAGTGCCCCATCGTTGGTGTCAGTGGGGGGGGGGGGGGGGATAGTGCCCCATCGTTGGTGTCAGTGGGGGGGGGGGGGGAATAGTGCCCCATCGTTGGTGTCAGTGGGGGGGGGGGGAATAGTGCCCCATCGTTGGTGTCAGTGGGGGGGGGGGGGGAATAGTGCCCCATCGTTGGTGTCAGTGGGGGGGGGGGGGGGGGGGGGAATAGTGCCCCATCGTTGGTGTCAGTGGGGGGGGGGGGGAAGTGTGCCCCATCGTTGGTGTCAGTGGGGGGGGGGGGGGGGGAGGGAAATAGTTTTTTTTGCCTGAATTCATTCAGGCAAACTTAAAGGTGAGCGCATAGGGAGACCATAAGGCACCTGGCGAGAGGAAACAAGGATTCACCTGCACTTTGGCACTTGCTTATAAAGACTTTATTTATTTATTTTTCATGTATTACACTTATGCACGTGCACATTAGTATATTTTTGCACTAATATTGCCGGATTGATCACATATAATTAGAGTGGCACTAATTATATTTATACTTTTATTGATATATTCACTTATTTATTATTCACATTATATCAAGGTCCTATATTGATTATTATTTATCACACAAATTTAGGTTGTGTATGTGTGTATTGGCAATATATCAGCAATTTATTTAATTATATTAGTTTATGGAATATCACTATTTATTAAGTAGAATGAGCACAGATTGGATATAGAGACATAGAGATATATATGTATACAAATAGGAGCGCGGCATTATTAATACCTTAAATAGTGCCCCCACCGTTGGTGTCAGTGGGAGGAATAGTGCCCCATCATTGGTGTCAGTGGGAGGAATAGTGCTCCATCATTGGTATCAGTGACACCAATGATGCGGCACTATTCCTCCCACTGACACCAATTACACTTGCTGACCCCTGTTGCAGTATGGTGCTGCTGCAGCCAGCATATGTGGTTGCAGCAGCACCTCTACACTGCACACTTACCTGCTGCTCCTGCACTCGATTTTCGCGGGGCCTCTTGGCTCCGCCCCCTCGCCGGTGATTGGCCGCCTGTGTGCCTTTCCTGAGCTACAGTTCTGGCGGCCAATCACCGGTGAGGAGGTGGAGCCGAGCAGCCGCACGAACATCCAGTGGCCGAACGGAAGGAGCAGCCGCGCTTCCTGGACCGGATCGTCGTGGGACCGGAGCCAGGTAAGAGACAGCAGCCCCCTGCCCACCCCTATACTTAGTGTCCCTTCTGTTGGAAGGGGGGGGGGGGGGGCGGCGGCACCGCGCCGCCCCCCTAAAAAGTGTCAGTATGCTGTATACCGGCGTATAAGATGACCCCCGACTTTTGAGAAGATTTTCAAGGGGTAAAAAGTCGTCTTATACGCAGGCAAATACGGTAAATACCTTTTCTCATCAGCAGTATAGAGCAGTCCTGTGACTTCTATCAGTGTCTGGCTGAGCACTGGCTAATCTTTCAGGAGTGGTTATCATTATCCTCTGATTGTCCTATGGAGGCTACATGACCCCGACCCTCTGTCTGGACAGTGTCGACTGGCCCTGTACTGATCATCACCTGCACTCTCCCAAAATTAAAAAAAGAAAACACCTTTCTAGCAATACACACCAAACTGAGCATGTGCCTACTAGGGCTCATTACTATCAGAAGGACTGAGGACAGTAGAAGGGAAGGATCAGAGAAGTAAAGATCAAACAGCCTTTTTACACAATACAGAGGATTAACCCCTTGGGTTCCACAGTGAGTATAACAAGCATGCTTTACTGCATATACAGACTGATTGTACTGGTGTGGGTTTAGTAACACTTTAAAGTATCATAGGATAAAAAAAACTATGAACCAAGAAATAGAGGTTGTCGATTTTGTTCTGAAAATACAAGCCAGCGGAATGTACGGCTCCCTCTGTACATTTGTGCCCACTCAGATGAAAGCACAAGTCTCATAGTATGACTGGAGGCTTATTGTATGCCAACCAAATCTATAATCTGCTCTAATACTGCTCAGTATGTTTTGTGCCCCAAGTCACTGACCTGAACCTAGCAAACTAGTGCAGTCAGAGGCAAGTTGTAACTTCTGTCCAGACACCTGATGTGGAAAAGATACTCAAAATATGGAAGTCCCTGGATAAGCACAATAGCCTGGAAAACAACTAAATTGCAGCATGGCTGCGCACATTTTAAAGGGTTGGTTCGCCTTTAGGGACATCTTTCACAGATCTCCCCCATGCACTGCAGCAATGGGAGATAACCCTTACTTATACCTAATGAAGTGACTGGCCTCAGATGATACAAATCCTACACAAGTTGTACCTGTTTATCTACAGCAGTCTTTCCTCTACATTCAAAGCACAGAATTTACACAGGATTTCTCAGTTCTGAAAAGCAGGGGGCGGGGTTGTGAAGTTGAATCAGTAAGGATAGCTCTGAGAGCTGATTGGAGGAAAGGGACACCCCCCCCCCTCTTCACACAGTACATAGAAACATTGCTGAGGCTGTTCCTGTCAGGGCTCCGGGTATGACCAGAGATGTGTGGACTGACACAGGGAAATGCAGGCTTCAGATATGGTATAAATAAGACAGTTTATTAAGACTAACAATACAAATATAAACGCAGTGCACCAAACCCCAAGCTAACACAAATACATACAACAAGGTGAAACAAACCCAAACTGATATAGATACACAGGTACATACACATATAGAGCACAATGTAGTCAGGCAGGCCGGGTCGATAACTATCGGGCAGGTAGGTACAGGAGGAGCAGGCGGAGAGTAGTCAGGTCACGAGCCGGGTACAGCAACTAACGGACAGGTAGGTACAGGGGGTCAGGCAGAGAATGGTCAGGGTCACAAGCCAGGGATCAAACAGGAGAAGTCAGCAGAGGTCAGGATCAGGCAGGGTCAGCAACAAGTCAGGCAGAAACAGGAACAGGAATGCAGGTTACAAGATACAGGGGCCCATGGAAAAACACACACCAAGGCACAGACTGCAGGTCTGACCATCCCTTAAAATACACCTGCAATCAGCCCCAGGTGATGGCTAATTGCCGAAGTGAACCTCTGGTTGTTGAGAGCACCCGCTGGCCAGCCCTGGTACTGCAGCCCACAAGGCAGGTGAGTCCCACCACTATTGGCAAGTCCATTCCTGACAGTTCTTCACAGGCTGTGCCCTCCCTCGTCACCATTTTTCTCTTGGTGTCAGGAAAACATGTCAGAAGTGAATCATGCAGATAGCAGAGGAACAAGGCAGCAGACAAAAATAACACGCCGTGCTTTGGATTGAGACCAGTACACAATATAGAGAGATATGCTTTGTTCATATTTTATGTCTGAGGTTTACAAACACTTTAATACATTAAAATGTCAGTTTTTGAATTGTGAAGCTACTACACTGCAATTCAAACCCGAAGAAGGAAATTAAACCATTTTCTGTTACTGCCCGATAGCAGCAGTAGCCTGGAGCTCAGCATAGAGTCTTCGCAAGGAAAGCCTCTAAATGTGGTGGCATAGATGCAAAGCTGGCAATTCTCAAAGGCAAAGAAACAGGAGCAGCAAAGGAAAGAAGTCTCTGGGGTCTGCAGGCAGTATAACTTTAGATGAAAGGTTCCCCAACAGCCATCCACTGCAGACATATTAAAAGGAATTCTCCTTTAGGCTGTCAAATGGGCATTT